CGGAGAGTTTATTAAACCTTAGAAAATTAATTTCAGCTTAGCATCAAATATCAAAATGAAATTTAAGATAGCATGTAACAGCATTGATTACATCATCGAAAATATCATTTTTCAGATATTTCCCATTTTGTGTTTTGTAACATGCATCTGAGTCTGTGTATATATGTAAAGCTGCTACATATAATCGTCTTAGATTGATATGTAAAAGTATTCTTCTACAGTCTGCCATATATTTTTGGCAGAGCACGTTTAACACAGTGATCTGAGCTCAGCAGTGGTAGAAGTTTCCAAATTACATACATACCAGGTTTATCAATGAAGACCAAGTTTAATGTGGCATCAAAACGAGCCGAAAAACTGACTGGGTTACTGTGACAAAAAGAACACAAGAAGATACAGTCATAAGGGTTAAAATTACCACAGACAACTAACAATGAGTCTCGTATTTTGGGAGCAGCCAATTTCATGAATTGGTTAGCGAATCTAGATAGTTCAGAATAGCTGCAACCGGGAGTCACGTAAACATTGATGATGTAAATGAATTTTGATTTATTTAAATGTTTAAGACTACACTTAACAGTGATACTGTTTATTTTATCTTTAGAATAGATTAAACATGTTTAATTAGATGAACATCACGTGAACAGTGCACTTTTTCGTAGAAGTACACCGATCCTGGAGAAACATTTTAAAACCATTTAAAGAGGCTGAATTGTCATCATATAGGTTATGCAACAAAGTTTCTCGTAAGGTTATTACACCGGTCTTGAGATAAACATTAGAACATAGAATACACTGTAAATAGTCTAACTTACCCACTAAAGATTTGCATTTCCAGCTGAGTATTTCGCGTGGAGTCATTTGATGTAGTTTTGTTTGCTTTAGAGCATGCTGCTGTCCACCATGATGTCTTTTCTTTCTTGTATTCATTCAATTCATAGCAGATGTCAGTTTATGATGAATACTAACCTGAAATCATAGAGGTAGGTGGATATTGTTTTTAAAGTTAGCGTGAGAATCCGATACTATTTAAGGTCATATTTAGACAATTAAAAGAAATCAAAATAGAGCAAACTTGATGCACTATGTAGAATGGAACAATTTGGGGAGCCCAGATGTTTAGGCAGCCCGCCAAATTATTTTTTATCAAAATACTGCGAAAACACTAGCTGTAGTGATAGTAGTAAGCCAAGTTTAACGGTGTTGTCCTAGATATATAAATTGCATCAACTGAAACCGTCTTCATACCTAACTGGAAAAAATGTTTTGTAAAGAACGCAACCGGAAGTGCTAAACAGGAATTATTGCATGATTGCAATAGTGGTATGTCAAGTAAAAAAGCTACAAACTTCCCACTTCTTTTGGATTATATCCTAGTTTCGAATTTGTTGGTTATTGAGTTCAGTAAGCGTCAAACTTAATGTAACATATAACAAACAGCTTTGGAGTAGGATGAGCCAACACTAAATATCATTTGCAGTTTCTTGGCTTTTCAGTTGACATGGTTGAACGAACAATATTCCTGAGTAAACTGATTCTATTTGCCTTTCCCCTTTAACATTTTCTTCCCTTATAACTACCATCAAGAATAATGTGGTAGTTTATTGCTTTACGTGCAACAAAAATCACTCTTATTTGTGGACAGTATTTTATTTCTGCTTAATGATCTGAAGTATTCAATACTATTACCGATTTCTGCCTGATGGAGGTGATTTTGTGGTAGCCTTAGTCATCACGTTTCTGTTATTAGTGACTATTTCTCTTCAATAATTATAAAATAATTCTCATGATATCCAAGGGAAAGCGAATACCTTCAGTGAATGTGAATGCTTTGAAGTCAGACAGTTTAAAGGGTTCACCGATAACACTGATCGGCTTGAGGGGGCGTCAACAGAACATAATCGCGAGAGTGTTCTTTTTTATGTAGATGCGTTGCTTGGATGTTTCCTCTCCGAGTACAGTAACGATCCACCAGGTTTGCGTTAGAACGGCTATAAATCTGAAAACTGGCCTGGAATTTAGAACTGAGCAGAAAATTGGAGTGAAACCTCTGTCATGGCATGGTGTGCTTGACCTCAGTGACGTAAAAGTGGATACGAGAAACAGACTATGACAGTTTTTTATATAAACTATGATCAAGATTTGATCGTATAGTATGGCAAATATTGGGCGCTGAGGAAAAGGTTGACATTAGATAGATAGAGATTGCATTTGTCACAGCGGGTTTGAAATGAAATAATTCCAAAGTTTCGCACGGAAGTCTAGTAGGAGCTTCTTCAGGGAAATAATCAAAGTTAAAATATCAAGAACATATAAATGAATTCAAAAAACTTGTTTTGAATCTCCTTGTCCAATTCTGTTTGTATAGTCACTGTCTTTCTAAATAATGATAACTAATCATTCGGTATGAAATTGTATGTCTTTTGTTGTATAGTGTGCGTATGTTATATGTGTATGCATATATATACACCAATTCATATTCGTCGTGATTGTAAATATCAGACAAAAAGGGCACTAGTGACATGGTCATTCGGTAATTTTATAAGTATAAATTGAAAAGGATGAGGTGGATGTGCATACAGTTTCAGCTGGAATAAAGTGGTGAATAGTGTTAACTAGTTCTCTTCGCACCACTTTACCGGAATAAAGTGGAAATGAGCGGTAGCGATGATAATAATAATAATAAATCAAATCAGTCCAGGTTGTGCTTTTGTTAAAACAAAAATAATGGAGTTGAGACTAGTGTTCGCAGTAAATGTTTTGAGTCACTCTTTCTGCTTACTAATTAGTAATTGCCAAGGGGCAGATAAGTATACTCCATCTCGTCTGTTCAACCTGTCTGGATTCGCCCATATGTGTAGGCCTTTGTCTGTCAGTTTTTCTTGGTGTGACCAAAAACCTTTTTATAGAACCTTAGTTCTGTCAAAGTCAATTGTGTGTCGCATTTCTGCGGATCTGTTTTCTAGTTTCTTAACCTCTGCTGAGGTTTTTGGGATCTGCTTTCAGCATAGTTTATGTTCTTTGAGTTTCACACTGACCTACCTGGCTGTTTCACCTACATATACTTCAATACAATCTCTGCATTGGATTTCATAAATACGGTTCTGCTGATTTTCTTTAGGTACTACATCTTTAACTGTCATTAAGTTAGGACGTAGGGTATTTGTTGCACGAAAGTAAACTCTTATATTGTGTTTGTTGAGAATCCTTATTTCTTCTGAAGTCTCCTTTCGGTATTGGATTATGACCGTGCTTGTCCAATTCTTCGAAGGAAGTATCGGCACATACTTAATTTCATTTTTTAAAATACATCTAACAAAACCTTTCGGATAATTGTTTACTTCCAGTGTTCGGCAAACTAACTTTAACTCTTCTTCAGATTCCGTGCGACAGTTACTTCAGCAGTCAAAGGATGTGGAGACTGATAATCGAGATATCTGTCAGAATATGTTGCTTTTCTGAATATCTTAATCTTTAGCTTGTTGTAATCCTGTCTTTCCACTATACAATCCCTGAAGTTTAATTTCGACAAACTGGATTCAATTTCCTTGGTGAAAGTGATACTTCCGCACACATTATTCATGTGACAGAAGAGTTCATCCAGACTGTTTTGTTTGATGATGGCAAACGTATCATCTGCGTACCTTAAACCATATTCTTGGAGGTGTAGAGCAATTTGCAATAGCATTTGTCTCTGAAGAATACATGAACAAATTAGCTACTATTAGTGATACTGGAGATCCCACTGCAATACCATCTGTCTTTTAGTACAGATCTCCTCTGAATGTGAATACGGTCGATCGTAAGCACAATTTCAGGGACTCCAAAATTTCTTCCAGATTTAATGGACAACGTGAACTTAGGTCAGTATTTGACAGCAGTAGGTTCTGAATGATATCGAATGCATCTTTAATAGACACGTTAGTAAATAAAGAAGCTCGGACCAGACTTCAATGCGAAACGTTGGAGTTATTTGATTTCGAACTCTCTGGGATTTACACAATTACAATCTATGCCTAATGTAAGACTATGACAGTTTTAAAATACGCCACGACAACAGATAACCGAAAAAAAGGGATTAGTGGTGTTCATTACTTTCATGTAACCTTATACAAATATGTAGCACATGAATTCCCGTTACATTTAGGCTAACTATTCACCAGAGCATTAGAAAACCTCCTATAGAGTGCACATGCATGACCCTATGGCAAGTACATTATGAATCCTTCTTTTTTATCAATTCAGTAGTTCTGGTTAAATAATGCAACTGTTGAAAAACATCGATCAGTAAACAACCGCATTAAATATACGATTGGTATTGCTTTCAATTTGATTACGCTTCTTATATTCGGTGAATCAGTCGGTGGGTCATAAAACAGAACAGACCCGCATAATTTTGTCTCATTTGTATTGTACCTTGTATCTACTCATGAATTGTTTGTTTAAACGCATAATATTCAATTAGACTGAGTTCATCATCAATTTTTCTTCTTCTCATATCCTGTAGAGACAGTAAGTAGATTACACGAAAACAAATAAACCAGCTTAAATCTACATGATTATCTCTGATAAATTAAATGAGTTCGTGTGTTTATATGTGTGTATGTGTGCATGTCAAGCGTTCAACTGTAGTTTTCTCCATATATACATCTGATGATGTATCTGATTACTGAGCTTCAGTTCTTGTTCAAATTATCCAATGCGGGCTTAGTTCTTCACGATAATGGTCAAAAATGAGAAATTTACGCAGACTAATTTTATTCCAAGCACTACTACTATTCGTAGTTATTGATAGTATTTGACGTGAAGATTTCATTGGAATGCCAATTTCTTTCATTACCTTCATTAACCTAATCATAATAATGATAATACTGTTGGAATGCTAGCATCAGATTGGATGTGCCGTTTTCAGCCAATCAGTGTTGAGAGTCTTATACACAATAAAGACAGGACCACAAAAATGACAATATTACCAACACTACTAAATAGCAAAATACATCAGTGAGAAGTAAATGGTGGAGGTGATATGGTAAATAGCGGATGCCAATCACAAACACTTATGTCGTCACACCACTGGGTCAGATAATAATAATTCAAAAGCGCACACGAAAAGAAAAGACTGTGAGACACGCGTCTGTTTACACTGTCCACTTCTCATCAGAATAAAAAACCACCATTTTTATCAATAATAATCGAGATTATTGAATATTTTCAATTTGTATTTTCTAAAGTCCTTTGTTTTATGATTATTTTTCTTTCGAAAGACTGGATTAAAATTACTTACTTCCTTGTCTTATAGAATTTAAACACTAGTGCTATATAAATTTGTCAAGTGGTAAACAGAACAACTGAAAGAAAAAAAAGTTATGTTAATGGATGAAATAAAACATCAACAACCTTTGCTCTATCATACATCCCTTTCATCAATCACTTCATCAGATATAGGAATAACACCAATTCACAGCAGTGCCGTTAATAATAACGTTAATAATAGTTGTATTGACACAGTGTACATGAATCATAATAATAAAGATAAGATGTTATCAACCACTTCAACAAGAATCGAATCACCATGTTGTCAAAACCCATCCTCATCAGCTGTTAGTCCTAATACTAGTCCGATGGCAATGGATCAATGGTCTGCAACTTTGTTAGCTGCACAAGCATTAGTCAGAACGAAAAAAGTGTTTATCGGTGGCGTTTCGACAGGAACTACTGCAGATGAATTGAAAAGTTTTTTCAGTGAATTCGGTAAAGTAAGTCTAGTGATTATCAATTGTTGTTATTGATATTTTTTCTCGATCAACTGTTATTTCAGTATTTTTTTACCAGGAGAAAATGCATCAACTTACCCGTAGAACTGGGTGAAAAATGTAGGCTCCCTGCATCAGCTCCTTACCACTTAGTAGTATGTTACATAATTTAGGGATATTTGACTACATATTGTACGCAACTGTTGTCATTGTCATATTGTGAATGATAGAATTACCTTCTATGAAGTGTACAATATAGATGAGTTCTTAACTGTTAAAAATCATCGAATTTCACCAAGTATGCGTTGCAATTTAGTAGAAACGTCAAGTGACCTTGAACCATTATGGGTTGTATATGACTTGATGATTTTTAAGCTGTAGAATCTGAATCCATTTTTGTCATTACTCATGAAAAGGGAGTAATTGAAAGCTTCAGTGAGCAAATCTCAGCTTTTTGAAAGATTTAATCACTTGCAAATTAACATTTATGAAATGGTGGAACTAAAATATACCCTGAGAAACAAATTCATACGCAGGTCAAAGTAAAACTCAGTTACATACTGTCGAAGTAATCCAGCGAAGGCTTCTATCATTAAGGAAGAAGTACGATTCTCTTGTATACTAAGAATGTCAGGCATAACAAAACAACAGGATTGAGATGATTTTTCTTTCAAATGCAAACTTCTATCTTCTATCCGCCGATAGTGTTATTAGACAATAAAGAATAAATGTAACTAAGTTATAAAGACATTAAATAATTCAGATTGACTTTTGTAGAACTTCAAGTAATATTGTAAACAATTTGACAAACAGTCAACTTCCTGACATCACAGAATAATGATACTGGGTGCGTCCTAACTCTAACTTCTGCACTTACCATATATTGAATTCACTGATATACTGCATTATGATTCTGAGTCTCCTATCTTGGTGACCACATTACAAAAATGTTGAAAGAATTTGGTCAGATTTCAAGTTTAGACAGCATGAAACTGATTACTTCCCAGTGACCACTCATTATGACTAGTTTTTTCCTACCGGAGTACAGTCACTTCCTGAACAGCTCAGTGTAACATCACTGACTTCACCACTGGGTAATAAGAGTTTGAATTCCTACTGGCAAAATCAGCTCATCTGAGGATGTACATGAACCTTGCTAATGAACGCTAAAAAGCACGGAACCTAGGTCAACTAAGGCTTTCTATTAGCTGCTTTAACCAACTAACATGGAATCTATCTTTTTCTCACTTTCTTTGAATATCTCTACATTTTTCATGCAAAATACGCTTATGCAGTTGAATGGTTTGCTTATCACAAGTTTACAGCTGTTTTTCCTCGCCAAATAAGATTATTCAGTGAACTGATGTTTGTCAGAAGAAACTTTACAACAGTTTCTAGGCTCTCACTGCATAAACACATCTAATGACCGGAACTGAAATACAAAGTACGCATATGTCAATCTGAAAGAAATGGAATTCAAACCTTCGAAACTTCTCATATCAGTCAACAAGTTTCTAAGTAAAACAGTCTCGAACAGTAAACAACATTGGTGAGCCTTCTTTTTGGCAATGAGCTTCATTTCTTATTCCTGTATAACAATTAAAAGCTGTTAAATGTGAGACACGCTGACGATTAAGTTACTTACTAACAATGCACACAGATTATGCAAGGGCAAATAACTTGCATATCATTAAAACTTCCTATTGCAATTCAAAAGACATTTGAGTAATAGCTCAACGTCCTCTCAAGACAAACAGATGGGTTGATGAAGTGGAATTTATTTAGGATAAGTACGTGGACCGGTCAGAACACACATATTCTTGGCTTTGTCCTCCTTCAGTACGAAAAAATTTAGTAAAAACTTTAAGTTGCAGTATAAAGGCTATATGCTGGGAAAATACATCTGAAGTGGAACTGGCGACTTCGTGTAACATACTAATTAGAAATGCCAATCCTGATAAATTCATAAGGAAACATATGATTACAAAATTGGCAAGGAAGGATGCTCAAACGGCTAGAATAAAACCTCCATACATCCGAATACAATTTAGAGGTGACATGCTGAAGTAGATATTAATTTAAAAACTACGCAGATCAATTCAGAGAACTTTTAATACTGGTAAATTACAAGCTCAATGATGACACCGAGGTTGAAAGATGATTTGCCCAGACTAGTCATTACCCACAGTGTTTATCCGTTTGACTACTCCTGTGGGGCCAGTTACGTCTTTCGGTGCTGTAGAAATTTAATTTTCAGTGCTTGCGAACACCGAGCGCGGTTAAATAAAATCACGTTAAAGACTATTGTCAGCTCCATATTAACACACTTGATTGGAACGAATCAATAAAGTAGATATGAATGAGTCTTTTTCTCATTCTGTACTGCTTTGCTATCAAATTATAAAAAGGTAGTCGGTTCAGAATCTTTCAAACTGCAGAAGCAGTACCAATCAGGATCAAACAACCCAAGCTGTGCATTCAAAAGAAGCAAATGTTGTCGCTACAATAACCGTGGCCCTATTTGGAAAGCACAAAGTAGTTGGTATCCTGACCAACATAATCTAATTTCATACTGTAGATACCTCTTCTGCTGTATGATCTAAAATAATTCTAACAAGTTCTCTTAACCTATTTTGTCTTTCTTAGTTTATTTCATCCAGCTGTCCCTAGTGTTTTATCAGACTATCACCTGATATTACTAAATAATCCTTATAATCATTTACATATCCAAACATTTTGAAATGAACCTTAGTAACCGATTGATTCCAACATTGACCTTCACACATAACTGTGCATGTCAGTTCATAGACCTGTGTTATTTAGATTTATGTTGAGTAAAAAGAAATCACAGTTGTGAGATAAGTTGTGTAAACTTTGTATTATGATTATTATTAGTCCCTTGGGTTCCTAATGGAACATAGGGCTTCACTAGCACGTCTCCAGTGAACTCTTTACTCTGAAATCTTTTCAGCCTGGCTCCACAACAGCCCACTACCACTCGTTTATTCCTCAAACCATCTCCTCCATGTCACCCATACCAAACTCGTCATTACACATCCAGGTTCCACTCAACAGCCTGGCCCGACACGTCATGTCCCCGAATGGTCTTTTCAGTGCATGCCCAATCAATCTACACTTTCTTCCACTGCACATTTGTTGAGTGATGGGTTCTTGGTTAGTTCGTTGTCAAAAAGCCAGACTTCTTTGTGGCTTATTCTTTCTGACCATCTGAGATTCAGTAACGAGCCAGCGTCGGTGGCAGTTGTTGATGAATATCTGTAGTTTGTTGGGAATGCCTTTCGTAACGCGACAAGTCTCTCAATCATACAGAAGCACTGACTTACTTGACGTTGGTGTTGAGAATCCGGATGTTGTTCACGCTTTATGCTGAGTGCAGAAGATGTTCACACTGGTTTCAGGTTAATGAACACCTGTCTCGCTTTTCCGATCCTGGCTGGCTGGTTTTGACGTTCTCGTCCGTGCCTGTGCCGCGTGTAGTTGAAACAGTGCTGCCTAGATAGGTGAAGGAGGCTACTTCCTTTAAGTTTCTCGCGTTGATGGTGACTGGAGTTTGTTGTTGTTGTTGTTGGAGTTGTTGATGCGGTATCTTCATCACTTCTGTCTTCTCTATATTCACTTTGTATAGTATCTTTTAACTGAAACAATCATTATAAATCAAGGAAATTTAATAAGGTAACCACCCAAACACTTTCGTTCTCGGAAAAGTGACAGTAGGCTATTGCAATTACCTGATAAAGTAAGCCTTTATTGATTATTTGTGAACCAAATTCATTCTTTAAGATAGTAATCATCATCATTTTTAGTTATCCTCGAAAATGGTGTTGTATGATAATAATCATAAGAATTCAAAAATCAAGTAACTAGACTCATAAAGTCTTCCTATACTTTCAACAAAATTAACTCATCCTGGCACACGGATTCGAACCCTGATTTACCTGCGTAGGTGTGAAAAGGTGGATTGCATGCTAAGCTCTTCTTAAATAGGTATGACTGATTTCCTATTGTACATGGTACCATTCTGATGTCATAATTTTGTGATGATATTCAGTGCGTACGATTTTAGTAGTTTCGACTTACTTGTATTATACTTGTCTACCTATGCATTTACTTAAACCGTCATTCACTGACCATGGCTTACTTTTGTTGAACCATTAATCAGTTTTTAAAATCTACTCTACTTAGTCTGAAGTCACTATATGTAAAGTTTCATTTACTATTGGAAAACTGGTACTTATCTGTTAAAGTTGTACTTGTTTCTTTCTGTCAACCTGAATAAGTTGTGACATCTTCGAATATCAATTTAATACTTGTAACAAAAGGTTTCTTTCGTTTCCTTAATAGATAAATTTAGAGTGAGCAAACCGAAACCGACGTAGAACAGACAGTTTAAGGACTCTCTTATTCTTATTGGTTACTAAACGTTAGACCGCCTACTCAACCATCACTTTTAAGGTAATACAATGCAGGTTAGATAGGGTTTTTTTGAAGGAAAGAACACTCTATCTTAATGTTCCTCTGACAAGAAGAAGGTTCTCAAGTAATAGAATCACGAAAATAAATGGAAACATCTTACAGGATAACATATCGTGACCAGAAACCAAAGGTAGTTGGACAATGTCGTACACTAACAGCATGACATTTATCCGTAACAGCTGACTGGTATACGTGTACAACTATCTTAAGTGAGAGCAGCTACCACCGAAAGAGCTGAGAAACTGAAACTTTGGATATCCAGTTAGGATATCTTCAATAGAATTAGTCCTACAAGCGTTGCAGGTATGCCTTGATGAAGAATATCGATATTTTGGAATAAACATTTTATGTTGGGGTTCATCTTGGGCTAGTATCAGTTGGAGGAACATTAGAGACCTGGATAGCACTGATAACCTGTTTCGTCATAGTGTGGGACTCCTCAGTAGTCCGCACCGACGACCACTTCAGAGATCGAACCCAGGACTTTCAGGTTTCATGGCCACCACGTT